CCTGCCTGCCTGCCGCGCGGCGGCAGCCCTGCCGTGGCGCCTGGGGTGCGTGCCGAGGCGGTGGCTGCTGGGTGTTTGTGGTGCAGGCTGATGGATGTGATGGTGCGGCATCGCATCGAGGGCCGCGGCAAGGACCGCATCAGCTGCTTCCACATCGAATGATGATGGCTGGGCAGCTGCATTTGCCTCCTCCCCCCATTCTCCCTCCTTTTCTGGCTCGATCGCTTGCTCCACCTCCTCCTCCCTTCCCCGCCCTTGTCGCCCCCACCTCCTCCTCTTCGGTCCTGTTTCGTAAACAGTTACGGGGTCAAGTACAAAAGGTGGGCACCAAAAGAGAGCTGGAAAAAACGGAGGACAGGGAGAGGGGCAGCGGTGCAGAGAGAGATGGGAGGGGGGGCACGCTGTGTGCACCTATGCGCAAGGTGGCAACCTTCCATGCCGACAAATAGCCGGGGGCAAAAGAATCTGGAGAGACGTGTAGGTAGCTACTGTACTGATGCGGGCTGTACTGATTTGGCGTACGTTGAAACAAGGCGCGCCACACAGGGGAGCGAGGGGAAAGTGTGGGGGCGCCTGGTGACACACGCCGGGAGGACATGGCGGGCAGTGCTGGGTGGGGACAGCGGTGAGGGTTGGAAAAGCAAAAGGGAGGGGGGAGGGGGGAGGTACAGGGAGGCGACCATTGTCGCGGTATTCACAAGACAGCAGACAAGAGAGGATCTCGTCAGCGCCCAGTTTCCACCATGATCCGAGCGATGGCCGGGTGTGGGCCAAAGGTGCCTCCGTGCACGGAACGTAAAGGGCAAAGGGGAGCAGCACTAACCAGCGCCCCCCCGGCATCGCCGGGGGGGCACAACCAAATCTGCACCCGAACATATGAGTGGGGGTGCAGGGGCAGTCTTGGGCAAGGGGAGTGGAAAAGAAGGCGTGGGGACATTCGTTTGTGTGTTGGGCAGACAAGGGGGGTCAGCGGGTTCGTGGGGCCTGACAGGGCGCGGCCGCCGCACAAGGCGCCCCAGCGAGGGGCTTGGCGTGCGGCAAAAGGCAAGCAGTGCACAGGAGCTTCATTCAAGGGACAACTGTTCAGCAACCGGGAAGTTGAGGTGCAGGGCCCCGCAGCTACTCAAATGCTGGTGACGTGATCAGATGGGCCGTGCCATCAGGCGCGGCGCATGGACTGGACATGGATCGAATGGGGGATTGGAGAGCTGTCTCCGACATCGCTGGGGGGAGGCGCGGGGGGTGGGCATGCGGTACGGTGTGCAGTAGGATCGCAGGGGCGCCGGCTGCCAGCCAGCCTGTTGGTCTCAATTCCGAGAGTCAACGGCATCAAATGGACACATCAATAGCTGCGGCAGGCGGGAGGCAGGGGGCAGGCTTGAGCTCGCAGCGAGTGTTGGAAGCATGCCTGTGGCTACAATGCGCTGTGTTGGGAACACAGGTGCGCAGCAGCGCCAGCGGCCAGGTACGCCCGCCCTCACCTCCCAAGTCAAGGGTGAGCAGGGGCACGTCGTCGTCGTCGTCGCAGCCCGTCGCCGCGCCGCCGCTGCAGCCCATGGGCAGGCTCTTGGGCAGCGCCAGGCCTGTAAGGTCCAGGCCGCTGCCAAAGTACCAGGGCTGGGGCTCCGCGTCCCCATCCCACAGAGACCCAGGCTCCTGCACAGCGCGGCAGGGGCTGCGGCACACGTCAGGCGCAGCGCCTGGCACAGCCGACAGCGTCCCTGCAGTACAGTGCAGGGCCCCTCTGCAGTGCAGCACCGCAGAACCACCGCAGGGCCGCCCTGCCGCACCTGATCCAGCTCCATGGGCTTGAAGGCGGAGGAGAAGCCATTCAGGTCTGCCTCCACGCCCGCCAGCGACTGGCTGCCAGAGGCGAGGAAGTTGGCGGCGGCCCCGCTGGCAGCCGCGGACGCCGCCTGCTGCTGCGCCGGCGCCGCCGGGAAGCCGTCGGCCCAGTGCAGGCCCGCCAGCGGCGACTGCGGCTCCGCCACGGGCACAAAGCCGGCGGGGGCGAGGGGCAGGGGGCAGGCGCGCTGCGCAGGCGCGCCGCGGCCCGGCAGGCTGCCCGCCATCGCCTGCTGCTGCATGGCAAAGATGGCGCTGCCGCAGAAGGCCAGCGGTGAAGTGGGGGAGCTGGGGCAGCTGCAGGGCAGGCGGGGTGGCGGCGGCGGCGGCGGCCGGTCAGCAGGGCTCGCAGACAACGGACGGCGCCGGCGGCAACGCGCATGCCAGCCTGGCAGGGCCCCTCCCGCTGCCGCCAGCGCGCTGCTGGGCCCACCCCACCTGTGGTGTGGGCGAGGTGGGTGGGAGGCGTGGCAGTGCGAGTCTGCATCCTCAGAGTCGGAGGTGTCGTTGGAGAGGGCCGAGTGCTGGTGCAGGTCCAGGATGGACAGGGGGCCGCCAGACAGCGGCAGGCGCGGGTGCTGGCGCTGCGGGGAGGGGCATGCCGCCTCTGCGCCGCGCTTCACCTTGATGGCAGCCAGCTTGGGAGACCTGCGGGCATTGCAAGGGGAGGGGCAAAGGTGAGCTGGGGGTCCCCAAATTCGGCGCGCGTGGGCAAGGCAGGCCATGGCTGCGCAAGCAAGCAGGCGGCAGGGCCGGCGCGGCGAAGCCTGCGGCTGCCAGCCCCCGCGTCCGCGGGCCCTCACCTGGCCTTGGCGGCGCCGCCGCCGTCCTTGGAGGAATGGGCCGACTTGCGGGAGCCTCCGGAGCCGGAGCCGGCGCCCTTGCGCGCCTTGCCCTTGGTGTTGGCCTTGAGGGGTGCCACCCCCACCGCCTCGTACAGCTTGCGGCGCAGCCAGGAGTTGTTGTTGGACTTGGTGGCGCTGCCGTACACCTCCTGCGGCGCGGGCGGGCGGCAGGGTGAGTCGGCGAGCCTGGCGAGGCACCACGCTGCCAGCAGCAGGGCAGCCCAGCAGCGCAGCCTTGGATGGGCGCCCAGCATGCCCGCTGCAGCGGACTGCCCCCCCACTCCCTGCCTGCACCCCGCCCCGCGCCCTGGCTTGCCTTGAACTTGGCCTGCAGCTCGCGCTGGCCCATGCGCGCAATCTCCTTGGCCGCCTCCCGCGGGTCGGCGGTGTTGAAGTGGGCGAGGGCGGTGACGCGCTGCGACTGCGACAGGCAGTGTTTGAGCAGGTGGTGGGTGCGCTGGGAGGGGTCCAGGCCATCGGCGCTGCAGTGCTGCTCCGTGCTGGTGCTGGCCAGGCTGCAGCTGTCGCAGCTGTGGCCCGCGGGCTCGGCCGCCGCCTCCAAGGCGCCCGCTGCCGCCGCTGCTGTTGTAGTCGGTGCGAGCGTAGCAGGGGCGCGCAGG